CGGTCGCTGGGTGTGAGGCGAGGAGGATTATGGGATTTTATCCCTTCAAAGAGTCAGCCTCCAGTCAGGGAAAAAACAACCCCTTTGATTTTCACAGAAGCAATATATTCATGAGTTGGACCTTGAAACTACAAGGAGACTAGTGTAGTGTGCCATATGCAAAACATGTGTTTTAATAGGGCATGATAACTTGGTACATTTAAGGAGACTTACCCCTAAGAAGCTGTAATTAAAAAGGGATCTATGGCTGTATGAATGAAGGACTTGCAGAGCGTGCATGTGGGTTGTTTTTGCAGACACTCAGTTTGCGCTAACAACTGGAGGCAGCCTCTTGTCTGCCGAGACATCTGAAGATGTTTTGGCATTTCGAGCCTCGAAATCCTCAAAGATATCAGGAAAGAGGAAAGGGCAAGATGTAACCTCCTGTCTGTGAATCTCTGTGCCACATTGGTGGTATTTATAGTATATATGTTTGGCATTTGAATAGCCAATTCAGGTCACACAAGGTTGCTGTACTATTGGTTGGGGGCAGACACAGCCTTTTAAACAGCACGCTGAGCTGTGAGTATTTCACTATTGTCTCATCAGCCCTATGCTGCTCTCAGCAACTCAGCTAAAAACTAGCTTTATGTCAGCAATAAGAATGGAGGAATTGTGTTTTTATTTGCCATTTCGGTTTTTGCTAGTTACATGCATAAAGTCCTATATTTTAAAGAACATGTATGAAGGTCATAGCCCAAACAGTTCTCTTTCTCCTGCATTTTATCCTGTTCCTTGATAAGTCTGTAATTGACAGAAGGATAAACAGTAATTTTGCAGATTGGTAGGACTGAAAGATGATTGTTACTTTAGCCTTTACTGCAGTAAAGCTGTACACGTTACTCAAATATGACTGGAGTCATCGGGCATTGATGACAGATGTATCCCAAATCAAAGGTATATGTGTGCTGAGACACTATTCACTGCCAGCAGAAGATAGTCCCTCGCAGCTCTGTTATGCAGACAGGCAGCAGTGGAAGTGTCTTTGTGACAGAACCTGTGTTCACGCATATACATACAATGTAGATGGTTGCACATGTTTTCTATATAGGAAAAGCAGCGTGAATGCACACAACAGGAAATTGTCAGCAGAAATAAAACAGTGATACCTCTAATCTTTTTCTCCTATTGTGCATCTACTAACCTGTGTCTAAAACCACCTTTGTGGTGCTATAATCCGTCCTCCACACCAGTGACTTACAGTAAGTGCTCAAAATAAGGCATTGCAGCATCCCTCCAACCCTCCCTCAACCCATTTTCTCTCTCCTTTCACTCCTCTCACCCCCTATCTCTCGCTCTCCCTCTCCCTTCTCTGATCTGCTGCGTTTGAGTACCAGAGGTCATAAGCTTTGGACATTGCAAAGGCCCCAGCCAGGCCAATGTGCTGACTGAGGGGATATGGGGCTTGACTTTGGGCAGTGTGAAAGATCCAGGCCTGTCTTGTTTGTCTGTCTGTCCGTCTCACTGGCCACACTATAATAAGATTGCCGGGCTCTGTAAGGCGGATTTACTGGAGCACAACTCCCCCTAGGGCCTTGTCATAGAAATGGGTTTCTCCATATTTCACCCTAGCCTCTCACTCTCTCTGTTTGTCAAATGTGTCTATCTTTCTCTCACACTCCCTCTTTCTAAACCTCTGGTGTTAGCTCCCACTTTGTTTGTTTTTTAATTACGATATGCTTCATTCCTTTCTTTGTCTGGGTAAAGACTGAACCTAGCCACAAATAGAAACATGAAGCTGAGCCAAACAAAGCTGAGAAAAGCAGACACAATAAAATAGAAAGCGGGATGGAGGATATGGTCTGTGATATGGCACCAGCTACTATATCACAAGTCCTCTCCACTTTTATCTCTCTCTCAAGATGGCCGTGTTTATGTAGTTGGCCTTTCCCATGTCCTCATAGAATCTCTTAAAGACATGTGAATTCATACACAGGGCTGTGACCAGGAATGTCATCTAGGTTTAAGCTAATATTGTTCACAGTTTCTTTTAAGTCACCTTACTGCAAATTGAAAGCCAAGGTCATGAACCCAAATTTTGACAAAACAACCTTTGTACTGTGTGCATAGCTGCCACAAAAATGAATTCTGTTGTGTGTCATAGTTGACACAAATGATGGGTCTTGCAGTCCAACCTTCCCAGCTGTGCACACTGTGCGGTGAATGAGGCCAATTCAAATGCAAGCACAAACTCATATCAAGGCAAGCGTATTTTGGGAGCACTGTGTCATCTATTCCACAGACACAAAAACCCCTCTGCAAGACCACAAATAAGTGGGAAAGGGAGGAGCGGCGATTGTGTACAAGTCAGTGTCCCTTTTGATTTGACTGCCAACTCTTTTTGGCAAAAACTAAGACAATTTTCTTTCAGTCACAGATACAGCATATTTGCTGTCTATATTTTACTGTGAAATACGTGCCGTTTATGGCACTCAAATCCTCATTGTTAGGCATTGAAGTGCATTTTTTTGACACTAGCATTGCTATAGTTAGTGAGCTGACCCTAGTCGTTGATTAAAGGTCAATTTAAAGTCAGCTAGTGGAAAGTCAAGTACTTTGTGTGGAACAAGATTGCAATGCCCCACTTTCAGCAGTCACCCTGGCCCTAGCTATCTTTCAGGTAAACTCTTGCATTTTACAGAACCTACAGTTGAAGCGGTAGGCAGTTAAGTAGGAGGTGGGAGGTGAGAAAGGAAGCAGGGAGCTCTTATCAGGCCCGCTACACAGTGCTGGATTCAGCCCCGGGCTGTGTGGGAGCACTGATTACAGAGGCTAGCCTGAGGAGCTGAGGGGAGGTGGTGGGCACAGGGTTCCCAGCAGACCCCTATACCACCATAAAGCATTAACTCACACCATTAGGTTCAACCAATTGCACACACACATACATACACACACACACACACACACACACACACACACACACACGGTCTGACAATTCTCCATCTTGAATATTCTTTACACTACAAAGCTCTCCCTCTCTTTTTTCTGACATCCAAGCTAATATCGGCGGGGGGCCCACAAGATGAATGAGCCTGCAAATGCTGCATTAAAAAGTCATAAACGGGGATACCTTCCGGGTCCAGGAGCTCCTCGGTGAGGAGGATTGACCCTTTTTTTTTTTTTTTTTTTTTTTGCTGAGTAATGATTTGAACTGAGCAGGTGGTCCAACAGAGCAGAAGGACCTCAGCAATTTGTCCCGTCACTCCTGGGCTGCCAAAACGGACACACAAAAACTCTGCCAACCGTAAAGTGCTCTCTCTCTGTCCAACCGGTGAATGCCAATTGGAAACCTAACACTTGATTGACAGCGAGCCGCCCGAAGCTCGGGTTTATAGCGGAAGACTCACAAAGTAGAGACACAACTAAAACAAAACTTGAGGAACTGCTGAAATTCACTAGATGATGTCATCCGTATGGAAGAAGTGGTTTGTATGAGGCTACTCTTTGCCCCTGTGTCCTGCGTCAGCACTGACTCATTGGTTTCACAGCACAGAGCTGACATTTTGATTGGCCCAAAGATCACTTATGGGACAGGGTGTTGGCTCCTGTGAGGGTGGACCAGTGAACAAGTGGACAGGCGCCCAGCGAGTGCTGATGCATTCACAGGCCACATTTGGCCTCCTGTTGAACATTTGACAGCATGTGATTGTGTCTGCTGAGCACAAAGGCATTCTTTCATTGAATAGGTCTGTGTTGAATCACTCTACCACTGACATAACACCTGTTATTGAACATAGTTTTTGTTCAAAAACATGTCCCACACCGTGATGCTTATTTATTGTGCGCAAACAGGAGGGAATATTGAATCTATTAAGCAGCATGATAATGAAAGGGAGATGTAACAATATTTACACAACCTCTACATTTCTGCATGATTCCAAATGAGCATCTGCTGGCTGTGTAACTTTATTTTAAGCACTCAGAATCCCTTGGAGCTATTGGCTCGTTTGGCAATTAAATTAAAGTCAGGTAGTTAAGTTAAATGTTGTCGAGCCAAAAATATCTGTCACATTTGAGAGTGTAAGCTTAGTGCAGCTCTGCAGTATTGTGCAGCCTTACTGTGAGGTGGAGGGGGTTGAATATCTCAGCAATGCACCACCCCCTCTAGACGCACACAAACACACACACCAACACCATCTATAGCTTCAGCTTCCAGCAAACCCCCGTGACGCCTCTGGCTAATTCCACTCAAGCCCGTCGGGCTGTCCAGCAGCCTCCAATAAATTAGCCTTGCTGCACCCCCACTGAGACACAGGCCCTGACAGTCTGGCCGGTGCCCAAAGTCACTCGCTTCTGGACACACTCATAATTATTGCTACTTTTTTACTGCGACCCAAGCTCTTCACTGAGTAGACTGTGGGATTTTTGTGTGTTATTATGATTGCATTTTCCCATTTGCAATAGTTGTGGATATAGTGTCAAAACCTGTTTTTCATTTTGTCTATTTTGTCACATGTAGTGGCCAGGGCCAGTTTGGAAAAGTTTAGCTCAATTCAAGTGTCTTGATAACCATATCTTTGCAGTTTTAAAGCACACTTGTCAATGCACAGGCAGTGCATGGTGCAGGTAGTTCTTTGGTAGTCAAAAGCTGTGTACATTTCCTTCCCCAGCCACAACTCCCCACGTTTGTTGCTGTGAATAAGAATGTGCTCTTTGAATGCCCTTGTCAAAAGGGGTTAACAAAAAGATCATCATAACAGTTCTCTCTGGCCTCCTATGCCAAACTCTATTTCCTGTAAAAAAAAGAATCCCCTTCCCGTCTCGGTCCCGTGACGTATCCCAGCATCTGTCAGATAGTGATTGGGATTCTGGGTCATATCTCCTGCTACGTTTTTCCGTCTCAATTTCCTTCGTCGGCATGGTTTTGCTCCCTATCTGCAGCATCTGCCTCTTGTCTCAAGTTTGGATCGAGCTAGTGTCCCCATCTGACATCTCTCTCCCTCTCCCTCTGTCTCCCTCAGTTCTGTTCAGCCTGCTGTCAGTGGGTGCCCAGACGGAGATGAAGAAGGTCGTTGGGGACAATGCCACCTTACCATGCCACCATCAGTTCCCGTCGTCCAGCTCTCTTGACATCGAGTGGCTACTGCAGAAGCCAAACTCCAAACAGAAAGTGGTAAGATAAGATTTCTTTTATCCCCACCTTTCCATTGTCATATGTTATTGTTAATATTTAGGTTTGTAGGGCATACTTAAGCTACTGCAAAGTAAACCTTAAGAAATGCATCTTTAACGGGCCAGCCTGATTTAGAAAGAAAGAAGAAAAAGTAAATGTGTTTTTATCCTACAGGGAGAACATAAACACAAGAGCAACTTAAACACTCTTTTGATGGCTTTGAATCCTGGGCTTACAGGTTTTGTGACCTTTGCTAGGGCTCTTTCAAAATGACTCTATCTTTACTCCATTTGAGTCATGCTGATTGATTTCCGACAGAAGCCATAATAGTTGCACATTAACTCAATGCCCAAAGTTACTGTGGCACTTCAAGTTTTAGTGCCTTTCACAAAGGAACAATCATGCCGCAGAATGTTCCCCAACTCATTTTGTAGGTGTAACCTTGGACTCTTTACTCTTTACTTTTCCTAGACCATGAAATGCATACACACTGGAACAACATTGAAATTATTTTCAATTAGATTTTTTACAAATGTGATTGTATACTGTTAACACCTCTAACACGTAAAAACAGTCTTGTTTAGGTTTTCATCACTTTCTATCTAATTAGTTTTGGTAACATAACTAACACTGACCTGAAAAACTGGAATTTCTGGAATTGGATCACCAATTTACACCTGAAAACAACTTCAGCCGATAGTAGTAGTTCACCAGAATACAACTGATGTGAGATTACACACCCACTTAAAGATCCCTTCCAGACATGTGTTAGCTACAAATTACATTTTCAAAAAATCTGTTTTTCTGCACAAAAAATATTTAATTTCCACATAAAATTTTCTACTCATTACAATTACCAAACTCTATGAATATGTAATTTTTTTGTGTCAAAATGTCTCAAGCTTCACTGTCAAGTCCATTTTCAGTGTATGTGCACTGGTGGCTTCAAGTTTCTAGATCACACTGTAGAAGTTTCATGCTGGACCAGGAACAACTTCCGAACTAATTCATGCTTGTAGGCCCCGCCACTTAAAATCTGATTTTCACTGAGCACAGAGAAACTTTTCACTTTTAGCAGATGAATGTGAAATCATCCTTGTAGAGTCAAACTCTGCACATACGTCATTCTGCACAGGGAAGCTCAAACATCCAACTGTACGAACAACACGAAAAACTCTAAGGCTCTAAGGGAGGCACACTGTTTCCAAATATTAAAAACAGTCTGCACTGCATGTCAGTCACTCTAAAGTGCTCCTGCTTTCTTTGCAAGTTATTGTACTTGTGACCTAAAGGTTTTCAAGGCTTCACATCATCGGACTGACTGGCGTCTGAGCATATTAAGCATCTGTTACATACTCTATTATAATTTAAATAGGCTACTATGTAAGGATGAATTAGCTTTTATCTTAAAAACAAAGTCAGATGAAAACCTTTACTTCCATATCCATTATTTATGTTATTACATTTCCCACTTACAGTGAAATTTGGGGATATTTTAGGGTTTCCTTTGCTTTGTGTCCACCTGAAGTCTAGAAATTATGAAATCAATAGATGGCAGCTGATTCTACGCTTCATCATATCCTCCAGCCTTAAACAGCAACACATTTTTTCTGTCCTAGGTGAAGCATCACCTGGCTGAAAGTATTTAACTTCAACCTTAACTTGGTTTTGTGTCTCACAGCCGTGACATTTTGGTATCGTTTCACTGGTTTTGAATCATTGCCTTTCTTCACCCAAATTGAACGTAGTATCTGATAACAGACAGAGCGTATACTCTCGCCAGCCTTCTGTCGGAAGAAAGAGATTTCCTTTCTCTTTGGAAGACGTTTGTTCATTCGCTGATGTGTTGGTTAGCACAGAGGAGCGTAACACTGTGAGAAAGAAAAGAAAAAAGTGTGTGTGGAGGGGAAACAGAGGGGCCAGGAAAGGGGAAAACAAGTGTCTTACGCTTTGATGATTCAGAGGGCGGCTGCCACATTGCAATGAATATTTAACGGGAAGATAACATTGAAGGCGCCATTAATTAAAATCAAACGTCTGAAAATTTGATTAGGAAAGAGACTGCGCCTGTAGCTGAATGAATAAATCATTCTTTTGTTCTGCTAGAGGGCCGTGTTGAGAGGGAAAGAGCATCTTGTCAACATTTAGCCTCTGTTAGCATATGTACAGGCTACATGTGTTAAGGACACAGAGGGTCTGGAGACAGGGCATGAGAGTGGCACCAAAGTTCATTTATATTGTCATAAAAGACTGGCTGTCTGGTTTTCACTGTCCTGACCCGAAAAAGTGCAGTTAAACAAAACATTATGTATTACTGTAGTGACAGTTGTGGTGTAGACCTGGAAGGGTGTCATTTTCCAAAAAATGGAAAACAATGAAAGTAAGCCGCTTAAATGCTGGAAATTTCGCATAAATGATCGTTCTTTCTTGCAGAATACACCAGCAGCAGTGTGGTAATAGGGTTTACTCTATGCTGGCGATTTTTAATACAAGAAAATGCAAAATTGCTGCCCTTCCAGCACACAATTCTGAATATACTTTATTGTCATTTATTACCAGGACAATTGCAACCGACTTAGCTGATTAATATTCATTAATAGTCTAGTGAGAAAATGGAGTGTCTGTTTTTCCTCTGTATATCCTCTTCTATATCCAGGTTATATTATGGAAACAGAAAATAAATTGATTGTTGATACTCAGTGTGTAATCTGGTCCAAATAATCCTCAACAGTCCCTTCTTGACTATCTATCAGGTAACCTTGCAAGTCAACAAAAATTAAATTTAAAACAGTAGGCTATATTGTTGTAAGTATACCCGTGAACCAAATGTTTAATCCAGTGACTTCTTGTTCATTAAAAGAGCTAGAGAAGGCAGGGACACTCCATGTCTGCATACAGTATTTTCAATTTTTACTGAATAAATAAACCGCCTCATTTTAATTGCAAAATATGCTAACAGCCTGTGGACATTTTACTAAATTCTTCTTAAATTGATCACGCTCACCAGCACTTTCACTATCTTCCTATCGGTCTTATAAGCATGTGTTTAGGGTACACCACACATAACCAGGAGCATAAATACACATACACATGTAGTGTAGTCCATACTCATGTATATGCGAGTAATACACGCCCAGAGTTCATGAAGGCAGCACAAGTGTGTCCAGAGGCAAATGCTTTTAAAAATATGTCCCACTAGGTGCCAGGGCCGCGTCGCTTTGTGCCTGTAGAAGCCTGTGGCACAGTAATGTATGTTTGCGTTCACAGCGTGCTTGTACTCTACATGTTTGCTTGTGTGTTTAGGTCTGTGCATGTGTGTGTGTAAATGGCCAGTCGTCACCTGTGATCACAGCAGGTGCCCCTGTTTCTTAGGCAATGATGTGCTGTGGCACCGGCATTTAGCAGTCCCCATCTGCAGGCTCTCACTTGCCCTGAGTAATAGGCCACTGTGACAGCTGTGTTTGTTTGTGTTTGTGTGTGTGGATGGAGAGAGAGAAAGAGAGAGAGAGAGAGAGAGGGGCAAAGAGAAACAAAGAGGGGATAGAAAAGCAATGACATAAACAGGCAGAGAAGAGAAAATCAAAGCTATCCAGTACAGGTTTACAGATGTTCGATGTGTACCATGAAATTTCAAAACATCAGATGTTTCCTTTGAAGACCCAGTCTTTGGAAACGTCTAAGAAACATTTGCTAAAAGTAAAAGGAAAAAAGAACAAATGTGTCAATCGCAAACACAAACTTCTTTCTCTGCACTAGCCTAATTTACATGCAGATGTTTGTATACACGTGTGTACGTTTGTACCTAACATGCACAAACTTGACTGCATATTAACAGTGTCCCTACTGTTAATATTATATAAGATATCAATTCATAGTGTTCTGAAGAACACCCCATTAGGCGTGTTTATTATTTTTCTGAAAATGACTAATGCAATGCTACTGACTTAGCCAGGCCTTGTAATTGACTCTTTATATTAACACAATGGGTAGCTGTTCATTGTTCATGGCACTACCCAGCTCGCCAACATGCTAATATATACACATGCACATTTTTTTAATGGAGCAAGCACTATACACTGACAGTAGCACAATGCTCTCAAGAGTTATGGCGTTAATGCCAAACTGACCATGCTACAAAAAGTTTGTAACTAATTATAAGCTAATAATAGTATCACATCATAAAATAAAATAATAATTTGGTTTATTTGGTGAAGGTGATTAGCTGAATAAATTGAACCTTTAATGCCTTTACTGATTTGCATAACCTCACAGTTCAAGAGTAAGTGCTTTAAAAGAGTAACATTGTGGTACTGTTAGATCTGACAACAACAAAGAAAACCATGACAAATGACCTGATTTTCAAATTTTAGATTTTCAAAAAATAATAGTAAAAACATCAATGCAACAACACATTTCTTTTCTGAACATACATGTTTAGTACTATGTATTTACTAAGTACTTTGGACAATGTCGGGTGTGAGACATTTGTTTCTCTGAGTGCTGACATCACATCAGTGCCACTGCTGGCATTTTAATCTTTTATCTCAGTACCAGAATAGATTTTTATTTGGCCAATTTGACAGCTCCGCTTGTAGAAAGAGCATAAGCAGATAACAGTGCTCACAGATAATCAGCTAAATGAACACTGGCAGGATACTGGCATTCCAGCAAATGCATTCATTTGTAAAATATTATTTCCCAAGTGTTAATTAAAAAGTGATTGTTAACAATGTTACCCAAGAGTTCTGGTATTGTTTTTCTCACTGCGCACCCAGTGAGGGACTATGGATATGCCTGAGCTGTACATACACCATCATTAGAATTATGTAATTTTAAATGTTAATGGCAGGCTACCAGTCAAATATATCAAGGGTATTACTGTTGGGATATGAAAATTAAGTTAACCAAACGTGTTGTTTTTGGAATTGAAAAATTGAGATGGCTGTGGGACAGCTGTGATTTGATCTAGCCCTCTGTGATATAGAAGGAGGCGTTACGAGCCTGTCACACAAGAGAGTTTGATATTTAAGATTTATACTCTAAAACACTACAGAAGGACAGATGCTGCAAACAGTCTCTCTCTCTCAAGGCCTGAGTAGAATACAATAAACAATGTTAAAATAATCCTCTGATTTTCCTCTCTTCATATATTTAGATCATTACCTTCTTTGGGGGCCAGGTGTACACCAATGAGGCGACGGGCAGTGAGGCCAGCCGCCTGTCCTTTGCCGGGGAGTACCTGGGTGGAGACGCCTCCCTGCTGATCAGTGACCTGCTGCTGACCGACTCCGGGGAATACTACTGTAAAGTCAAGACTGGGGGAAAGTACCACTGGAGCCAGGTCAACCTCATTGTGTTGGGTGAGTGTTGTCAGACACATTGTAATACACACACACACACATACACTCCGGTTGCACGTCCGCACACATGCCATCAGGTCGTGAAGAGACCCAAACCCATTTGTACACATACACACACACAGACCTAATCACTGGATCATTAGCCTGGCACATTTCCTCCGTCATGCTGACTGATCTAATGATTCAATTTGATTCAGACAGTGTGATTTGATTTTGCTCGTGCTGTTTGGGTTCGTTTGGATTGGTTTGTTGATGAGGTGAGACCAGAAACATACAGCTGGGTCTGGAAGAGCATAGAACTGATTGATTATGTTAGGATTACATGGACAGCGTCAAGTTGAATTCTTTATGGCTAATACATTTATCTCCTCTATGAGATCTGTGAGTAAACAGACCCCGGTTTAAGTTTGAGGGAAATTCAGTAATGAAATTTAATAGTTGAAAATGTCATTGACAAAAGTCAGCTGTCATCAATCTAACTGATAATCTACTTAGGGAAATAATTTGCACAAGTCATGTCTTAGCTCTCACAACTATAGAAAAGCCTGTTTGGCCTCATAAGCCACAGCAAAGTCATAATTGTAGATTTTACCCCCTTCTTCTTTTCCATTGTTTTTGTTTTCCTCATTTGCTCAATATACAGATGGTTATAAATGGCTTAGCAACTAGCTCAGTGGTTATAAGTGTCTCTGACTGCAATATCTCAAAAAGCTAAACAACTCTGAAGGACAGACAGCAAAAGGGGAGCGTCTGTACCACAAAAGCCAGCCACAAAGTCCAGCGGGAGGAGCAAGATCGTTCTCAATGTCAGAAAAGCAGCCGATTTATTAAAACATCATGGGAGATTAGTTCAACCCGCGGTTATTGGTTTTCTAATGGAACAGTCTGTTAATCCTCTCCCTCCCGCTCTCCTCTCTCTTCCATAAAGACATTTCAGTGAGTTAGTGCCTCGATTTTTACAAATTGCCCTCAGCTTTGCGGTGACACTTTCGATTTTGAGAGAGACGAACATTTGCATTTTTCTCTCGCTCCCCATGCTAAGATAATAGCTTGGCAGCCGAACTGGTAGCTGGCTTGGCATGAGACAGTGTGTGAGTGTATGTATTTGTGTGCACACCAAGGTTTTTGCGTGCCTCCAATGGTTGTGTATGTGTTCATGTGCAAGCTTGCATTGTAATGTCTGGATTCCTGCACTGTTCCTGTTACAGAGTGTGTGGATTTGCATGTGCAGATTTTTGACTTTGTGTGTGTTTGGGTGTGAATGTGTTGTATTTGTGTGTGTGTGTGTGTGTGTGTGTGTGTGTGTGTGTGTGTGTGTGTGTGTGTGTGTGTGTGTGTGTGTGTGTGTGTGTGTGTGTGTGTGTGTGTGTGTGTGTGTGTGTGTGTGTGTGTGTGTGTGTGTGTGTGTGTATGGGCAAATATAGGTGTGTTTGTCTGAGTTTATGCTGTCCAACTGCCCCTGCTGCAGTAAGGCTTAACTGACCCTGACAGAGCTGCGAGATGGACAGACGGACAGGGACAGGATGGAGAATGGTTAGGGGAATAAAGGGAGAGATACACATAAGCTATCTGGCTTTATGTACGTGCTATCTCTAACTCACTACATTTCAGCACTACAGAGTACTTAATACTGCAACTTTGCTGACAAGCAGCAACAGCCAAGTACACAAAAGCCAACATCACTAATATGACAGTGTAAAAAAATACAAAATAGATGTTTAAATTTAGCTCACCACTGATCTAAAAATATGTCTCTTGGGAGGGAGAAAACGGTGTGCTATTTTCCTGCTTTGAAAGCTTTGCAGTGCCTCTCAGTGTGTATCTAAACAGTGTAGCTGTACAGGGCTCAGCAGGCAACTGCTATACTGTACTGTGCCTCCAGCTACTGGACTATGACCAAAACCTTTGACCTGTGGAGAACATATTACCACAAGCGTTCACAGCCACCAGCTTTGGGGTCACATTGATCCATTCCCTATGGGACTAGTTTTTATTCTTTCTAATCTAGTTTTTATTGTTTGAGCTCTGAGAACTTACCGTGATGACATGCTAGATTCACCTTATTAAATATTGTAAATGACACAAGTAATGGATATAGATAGACAATGTCGAATAAAGTTTATACAGTATGTTGAGCATTTCAACTTTATGGAACTTAACAAGCCATTGGTGTTATTATCTCACTTTCATCTCACTCGCTCTTTATTTTATGTAGTGTTTTATTCTGAGTTGACGCACCTCTGTTTCACTTGCTCTTACATTATGGAGTAACTCGTGCTTCAGTGCATTTTCTATTTAAAGAGAAAATCCATTGTTAACTGTAGTTCAGCTAATTTTAGACCGCTAGAGAATAATAATGTCATCACTGACCTATCCATAGACAGTGCATGGAAGATGGATTTTATAAACTCATAGAATATTTGTGTGAGCATTTAAGCTCTATTTTAAAAGAGCAGTAACAGTTTTAATTAGGAAATGTCCTACAAATCATATCCCAAAATTAAATAATTAGCTGAAGTTCATGTTAGATGAACATATTTGCTAAATTGTTTTTATTTTTAATTTACACTAAATACTAGAAACTTAATATATTACTGATATAGTACATGTAAGACCCATAGAATATTTACTGTTCTGCCTTACTTTGGTTCAATTGTTGTATTACCTTGCTCTGTTACTAAATCATAATAGGTAAAAATGCATCATCTCAATGGTTGAAACCGAATCCAAAACTCAAGAATTAGAATTGTACCTGTGCCAATATGTTAAAGAAAAAAAGTATGCTTGTTTGGTGCACATTTGTATTAAAATGTATCTGCTTCCAATGTGTTCTTACAGTCAAACCTTCCAAGCCGAGGTGCTGGATGGATGGCAAACTCCTTGAGGGCAGTGATGTGAAGCTGAGCTGTAAGTCCAGCGATGGTTCTGATCCCATCAACTACAAGTGGGAGCGAGTGCTGGACAAAGGCAAGAGTCTGGGCAAATTGCCAAACCTGGCACTGATAGGTAAGGAAGATAATTGGCACTCCACTTACATGCTGATTCATCGTTCAAGCCATCTGCAGAGAAATGCTAGGAAGATAAATTTTCATATCAGTGATTTTTATAGGCCACATTTATCTGAGGAAGTGTTTTGCTGAGCACGCCGCCTTTCCTTCACCTCCTCCCTTCACACTCATATATTTGCAAACACTGACCAGTGCGACTATATTCTCCTGCTGGCTCTCTGAGTTGATTCTCCGGATTAATTAACAGTTACATGGCTTTACTAAAGAGCACTTAGGTGGGCTCAGATTGTCCCAATTAGGCCACTAATTCTGCAGGCCTTTCTTATCTTTAGACCAGTACCACTACTACCATCTACAGCTAAAGATCACATTATGCATAAATCAAACAGAACGCGGCCCTGTGATTTCTAGTTGTACTCAGTTGGGATGAGTTATATAAACACAAGGATCGGGCCCGATTCTGTGATCTGATGAAGATGTCTGTGACGTTGAAATGTCAGCCTGGCTCAAGGGAATTATACCTGCATGCATGAAGTCTGTGTGAGTGTTTTCATGGATTGTGTGTAAAGTGAAGAAAATCAAATGTAATACACAGAACTGGATTGGCAGCTCCCACTACATTCTGTACCAAAAAAAAACCTTGGCTCAGTAGTCGCCCTGAGGCAGACTTCATTCACGTGTGGATTTTGGCATTCCTCTTGGATCATAACCAGACATATCTTCCTCTAAATAGTAACAGAGACAGTTTATAGCAGAAAAGCTAATGGTAAGGCAATCCTCCCTACTGTGTATTCTCTAAACCGGCATAAACACCCCTGGGATGCAAACTTCTCCATCTCAGTTTTCTCTTCGGTGTTCGACTGGCATCCGTGATGGCACGTGCCCAGACAAAAACCTTCAAATTAATGACCTCCACCAAACAACACCTGTTCAGTCTAATTAGTTTTCATTGGACGATAACACACAGCGTCAGCAGCCATTATTTATGGGTCTGGTGAAAGGTAATATCACATGGTTGTCATTGGTGAGGATGACTAAATATCCCATGGGGCTGTGGGGCTCCATCGCTCTCTCAGACACGCTCCTGCTACTCTCCTCAAGTTGTCCTCAGTGCGATGGGCCCCGTTCTTAAATAAACACTCCATCAATGTCTATCCCCCCCACCCTTCCTTCTTCTGCCTCTCTCTCCTTCTTCAGCCAGGATATACATCCAGCTGTCTCTCCTGTCTTTTTCCAAAGAGTTATTTGCAAAAACTAACTACTGTTATAATCCCCCAGATCTCAAGAACCCAGAGATTGTGACCCTGAGGAATCTCACCATGGACAGCACAGGTGTCTACAGGTGCACAGCCAGCAATGACGTGGGAGAGGAAAACTGCACCATTGAAGTCACAATGCAGCGTGAGTTTTGGGAGGGAAGGCAGCGTCGCCCTCGCAACAATCATTTTGCACCGAACTGCCATGCTGATTGATGGTTATTGTTTCAAGCTGCAGCTGGAAATACATTTATTCCCCTCCCTGCCTTTCCATCTGCCTCCCCATTCTCACCCAGTGCTCTAACACCACAGGGACTGCACTAAACTTAAACTGGTGGCTACTGGTCACCACCTATGCTTCAACAGTTGTGTTTCACTGTCACACTAATACATTTCCTGAGAGGCCCAGGACAGTTGGGGTCATGTGTAAAGAAAATGACACATCTAGGAGCTCAGCAGTTTGATAGATTTGGTGTTAAATTAAATTTGGCCCTCTGTGGCACAAATGTAGGGAGTTTTGGAAGTATTTCCAGTAAATGGACCATAAGTATTTGTTAATTTAAGATTAAGAATGAAAACTAATATGTGACAGTAAGTGACTCTAGCTCTCATCACTCATCACTTCCTCTTTTCTCTTCACAGATGTGAGGGATGTAGGTATGGTAGCAGGTGCAGTGGTGGGAATATCCCTGGGTGTCCTCATTGTCATATTAATCATCTGGCTCGTCTTCCGGAAGAAAGAGAAGAAGAAGTACGAGGAGGAGGAGACCCCAAATGAGATCAGGTTTACTCATCCTCTTTTCTTCTGGGACTGGTTCACTTTTTAGCCTTTTTGTGTTATTTTACTAGATAAAATGCATGATATAATGCTAAAATTGTGTGGATGTATGGGACTATAAGTGCAGATAGATGTTTTTCTCTCTTTTTTCTGTTGCTCTGTTAGTTTACCTGCACTTAACCCTTTTAAATGTACCCGTTGCTGTCTTGCAGAAACCACCTGCCACTAGGTTTGTTCTGTAGATGAACTTTACTACTCTGAGTACGAAACTAGTGTAATATTGTACAGTTAAATGCTTTGAAAATGTATCATATCTGCCATGATCATGTTGGATTTTTTGGTTATCTGACAAAATTTCCAACAACCATGTGTTATTAGTTGATGTAATATCTCAGGCAAAGACCAAGTAGCTCAGGGGAGAGGGACAGAGGCTTGTGGGGTATAATGAAACAGAATGATTCCTCACAACAATTCAAATATAGCCTGCTACAGCCACCTGGGGCCGGGGGTGGTACACCTGGAGACGTACCTCCCACAAGTATGATCTCAAGCTTAGTAGGAGATATGATATACATACCTTATGCAAAGTTGGCATGTGAGCCACAAAAAACAAATGCAGACCAATGAAAAAGTAAAATGTTACAATTAACCTAAGCTTTAGGTCCAGATTTTATGTTTTTTTATGCTGGTCCTTCTCTTTTGGGAATACTACTGCCGTTTTTCTAGAGCCGGTGTATGGTTTGTCCATTCTGGGCCACTGTAGAAAAATGAGGACCTGTTCCCTCTGTAGATAGAAATGGCTCATTCTAAGATAACAAAAACATAACAATTGTGTTTTTAAAGGAGATTATTCACTAATACAATAACAAACAAACTAAAACACACCTATGAATATTATATTACATCTCTGACAATATATCCTCTTAAATGATACACATTGGAGCTTTAAACAGTGAAAGTTTCAAGTATTTTATAACTCACTGCTTGAAAATGAGATATACATTTGTAATAGGTTATTAGGTAGGTTATTAATAATTGATATTCACCACAATTAAATGTCCTAAGCCTATACAGTATTATACTGTTACCTTAAATATATGTTGCTCCATGCAATAATGTTTTTAGACTCAGCTTAGCAATTTCTTTTCAAATACTTTTTTAAAAAGTTAGCCAAATGGCTGGGGGATCATGGAGTTGAATTTGCAGCACAGATTATTAATATGTGGCATCCATCATGCCTCTGAAACACATGTCAGGTTGAATCAGAGCCATATTACGGCTCTGGATCGAATCATATAAGTTGAGTTCATAGAACATCTGGTTTAGCTGCAGTTCAGCAGAACACAGGCTTGTTTTGAGCGACAGCCGAACCAAAACCGTTCTGAACCACAGCTACAGTCGGCAAGTCAAATGCTAACTGACACAACAACAGCCATGCTTGGATGTGTTTGCTGTCTTCCTGTCTGCCCGACTATGTTTGTGTTTGTGTGTGTGTGTGTGTGTGTGTGTGTGTGTGTGTGTGTGTGTGTGTGTGTGTGTGTGTGCTAAACATAAAAACAACCACAAGGTCAAGTGTTCATTGATTATCTTTAAAAAGCCTTCTTTTCACACCTCCCTGGTATTTCTCTGAGTGTGTGTGTTCGTGTGTGTGTGTGTGTGTGTGTGTGTGTGTGTGTGTGTGTGTGGCATCAGAGCTGAGGGATCACACTCATGTTCATTCCTCACTCTAAAGCCTGAGAGCATTGGTGGATCCTGTGGTCCATTAATGACACTTGTAAAAGCGACTTTTTTTGGTGACAGGCTGGAGTTGGTGTAGGTGCATATTTACTGATGTAACAATGAATAATGTAATGTAGCATTGTTGAGGGACAGCTTCAAGTAAATAATGTAGATGTGATGAAGTGTTTTCTGTTTTTATACCATGTTAAGAGTCTGAGCCATTCCACTAATGTGCTCAAGCAGACAACAGCAGCTTTAGTGACGCACATCTCCTGGGTATGGATTTAGTTTCAGTTTTTTCTTTCAAGAGTTATAGAACCTTCTCCAGTGTGTCTACGAAGTTATCACATAGCCAACAGTGCACAGATGAGAGGTTTCTATTTCTGACTTTATGTAGAGAATCATAAGTCTCATATCGATGCGATGATATTACCTGGTGACTTCACAACCCACACATTCTTGTGACCTGGTGACAGTGATTTATAATAACTGCAAAGATCCTCTGCTATTTCAATACCATCCAAGTAACAATCACAGTACAAATTAACTTAGTTTGGGTGATTAATTTCACTGTCAATTTTAAGTTGTTTTTGCAGTGCAGTTTCTATTCTTCTGTGCTATTTTGTATATTTTTCTATCCTCCTTATGTAAAATCATAAAGTTTTCGCAGCAAAACTTTCTTTTTTCCTTCAACAGTTGTATCTGGGGAACTAGCGATTTCAGCAGATTTCATTTTTCCATGCAAATGTGTTTCACAAAACTCAGGGGCTGGGGGGTATCTCATGAATTACATGAGGTCCCCACTTAATACAAGTCTCATGTGAATAGAGTCTCAGAATAGTGTCAGGGAATAGCACTGTGTTGTGCTGTTTTGTGGTTCATTGTATGTGAGTGTGTGTATATCAGTTGTACTTATGGAAGTACAATTAAATAAATGGACCTTTGTCATCATTGTTTGCTCTGTGTGTGTGTCTTTCTAACCACAGGGAGGATGCCGAAGCTCCCAAGGCCAAGCTAGTGAAGCCCAACTCCCTGTCCTCGTCCCGTTCCGGCAGCTCACGCTCCGGTGCCTCCTCCACCCAGTCCATGGTGCACAACAGCGCCCAGCGTGGTCACCGCCCCCGCCCACCTGCCGTAGCAGCTCTCAAGGAAAATGGACAGCCTCCAGGCTTCCCCCAGTCCCCTCCAGCCTACACCACAGTGGTGCCCCCCAAGACCCCCGAGCCCCCTGCAACTCCCAAATACAACTCCAGGAACATCTCTGGGCCCACACCCCCAACCCTCATGGTCCCTGCCCAGACCAAGGCCTTTCAGACTGTGTAGGACTGAAAGCCAACCCCTTCCTTCAGCCATGTGAGACTCCCATCCTTGCCCAAACCCCTTAGCCCCCTCCAAAAGACTAAGACTCTTCCATAAACAAAGAAATGCAACTAGTTAAAAGGATGTAATTAAAAGAATCAATACTATAAGTCCAAAAGTACTTTTAATGAATGCATACATAAAAAGGGAGAATAAGACATGCTTGCCCCCTACTGAATTACATAAAACAACAAAACAAAAGAAAAAACAAGACCCGAGATGCAACACTGTTTGTGTCTCATTGCTAAAGGCAGAACTTATTTTCTGAGTTCCTTCTTTTGGCTTTTCTGAGGCATAGGGAAGCACCATGTGCAGTGAGGTGGAAGGAGCCCCCTAGTAGCACTTTTATTTATTTATCAAATCAAAGAATTAGGCATGCAGTGGAGAAAAAGAGGGGAAAACAGGGAAAGGCTGGATAATGAAGTAGAACTCTGAGTCAAGTACCAATGGAGTCATACAGCTGTTGTGCTTGGGTTGTCAACAAATAGGAGATGGATACAAGCGGGGTGGAAACAAGGAGGAAGAAAGTACTGACAGCTGAAAGACAGCTACTGATTTTTTCTTTTTTCTGGGAGAGGGTGGCGGGGCATGTGGGGTGATTCTCTGATTCATGTCACCCTGCACCTCCAACTAGCTGCTCCCAGCACCTGCTCTGAAACCACAAACCCCTTTGTCTCCCTGTGGGCTGGGCCCGATTGTGCCCATCCATGTGGACAGACACAGTGCGCTGCGTGTGCATCATCTGCCTCAGTGCTCTCGGTCTTTCGTGCTCTCATAACGGACCCGTGAGAAACCACAGCGGTCCTGAGAGTAACTCGGCTGACTCACAAACAGCTCATCTGCTTTACCAATCAGCAGGGGAAACTTCAGGTACAAGGATGTTGCATTGACAGTGGAGTCGAATCAATGGAGTTGTTACCCCCTCCCCTCCCACATCCTCTCTACATCTATGGACATCCTTTTCTGGTACTGAATATCTTCCCTGAATTATTAAATAGTATGTATTAGGCCTATAGCGAGTCAATACTTTAAATATAGGGGTTAAGCATCTATTAGACCAGCTGGACTTGTTTTTATTTTATTTTGTTTCTGTTCTCCTGTGTCTCTTCTCTCTGAACAGGTTGTAAAGGGTGACAGACAGCCGTGTGTCCATTCATCCATGTTAAAAAGTGCCACCAATCCCTAGGATGGGTTATATTTGTTGCTTTTTTACTCTTTTGTTTACCTGCTACATTTCTGAACTGAAACCAAAATCTGTCACCATGAATGTGTGATGTACAACGATGGTGGATCCCATTATTTTCAGCTTCCTATAAGGTGCGGAATCAATATTCGAGCTACGGCACAAAGAAATGACCTTGACGTTCAATTTTACAATTACTATGTCTGAATGAAGGGAGCGAGGAGTATGATTCTAGACTTAAATTGTATAGGGTGTGTATGGTATCATTGTCAGTGCTCTCCCTGGATCCATAACAATGGAGTGGCACTCGATTGCTGTCTCGCTGAATCACGGGGTCCTGCTTGGTTATTGGTCGAGCTGTGCAAGCCAATCCTCAGTTGTCGCATCCTCCTACAGACCCAGTGCAGTTTGATTGAAAGTATCTGAAAAAAGGGCAAGTAGCCTATCTAGTGTGCCTTTGCAATCCCTCTTCCCTTTGATGGTTTCTTTCTTTGTCCTTATCTTCAGCACACCAGTGGTTAAGTCTCTGTTCACATCCAGCTTTGAGGGTCAACAGTAGCAAATGCTGAGAGATACAACTTCACAAACTTGCCCTAGTAATAACAGACGCAGCCTAGGGAGCACCAAGCAGAGTGAATTATCCATGGTGAGAAAGCAATCCCATGCCATGGGACAATGTACTGTACATTCTGTAATCAGTCTTGTTTTATATTGTACATACAGATAGATATACGCACATGATGTCATTTAATTTAATAAATAAGGGTATGTGAGGGGAGATATACCCCTTGCAAAAGAGTCAAATGGGACCCAAAAGTGAAATTAAACCTTGTGTCTTTTGTACACATGTTGTGTTAAAAAAGTTAAGCCCCCTATAAACAAATATTATCATATGTAATGGCAAAAAAATAAATTAGTGATTAAATTGAATCCAAAGCAAGATATCTTCACTTTAACTATTGGCCAGATTCTCTTGAGTTTTTGTATGGATTTTATCGATCAGCTGGGAATAATTTCTTAGTGACCCCGTGACCTTAAGAACCACCATTCCCTCTTGGCTAGATATTGGGCACTGACAAGCTATTTCAAAAAGTGCCAAATTTCCATAAAATCTGCTACGAGTATTTATAGTCAACACACAACCCTGACCTTTAATCTGACACACCATATAGCTAAAATTTCTACTTGTGCACGAGATAGTTCCATTGGCAGATTGTCATGAAGTTTTGTAAGCATGCGTCAAAGGAAATGAGCAGTTTTTTATTTTAATGCCTTTACTCTCAGGACAAACCTAACAATTTAAGCTCCACTGTTGGTTCTAAGAGCAAATTATCAGTATGCCCAACAATTTAATATTATAGCTCGTAATTATTATTGCTATTTAGAGACTTGTTTAGTCTTGTTTCACTTATAAATCACTCATAAATCTAAACTTTCTCTCACTACAGTAAAAAATAGGTCACATAAGATGAAAAAACTCGTAAAACAACATCTGCCCGAGAAGCACATGTGGTTTGACTTCACATGCGGGATTTCACGTGTGACTTAACTGTAAGGGACATAATAAGAAAAATGCCTTTTATATTCAACGAGAGACAGCAGTTCATATTTGAGCAGGGAAGCTACTGTGTGTGTGTGTGTGTGTGTGTGTGGGTTTGTGTGTTTGTTTGTTTGTGTGTCTGGGCGTGCGTGCTTGCATGCATCCGTGCATGTTTGTGAATGTGTGTGAGTGTGTATGTGTGGGTGTGTGCATGTAAATTCAGTATAAGCCCTTGGGCCACACCCACACATCCTCATGTTAGCCATTCAATGAGTGAGAGGGAAACAGTCAGGCAAAGTAACCTCTATCCAAATTGATATGACTGCAGACTGGCAGTGTTTATTTTAGTTTTCACTGACTTATATGCCTATTGCACTTGGCTTCACAGACAGCAGTCATGTTTTTGCTTGTGGGGGTGGTGTCTCGAGACAAAGCACGTCCATAATTCATAACTATTGTCAGCTCTGGAGGCCACTTGTTTGCTCCCTCCCTGCTCTTGCTGTCTCTTAACATAGAATGCACGTGGCCCTGGGTGTACTGATGGCATCTCAAGGCGCACACATGCACACACACACACACACTCAATACAAACAGGTAAAAGTTGTATATACACACACATCAACAGGTACACGTGGCACATTCAGATCCACACGGGTGTGTGCTTCATGCACAGTCACAGTTGCACATACACACGAGCACACACACACACACACACACACACACACACACACACACACACACACACAGGCACACACAGGCACACACAGTTTGCACAAACAAAAGCCCAAACAGCCATCCTTGTTATTTCGGCTCCTTCAGAATCAATTTGATGGATCGAATGTCTGGAGGTATTACGACTGACTGATGGAACCAGGTTTCTAAATGCAGCACAGAAAGGGACACTCTACACTGCATCACCCAGGGGACACACACACACACACACACACACACACATACACACACACACACACACACACAGATATACAAAAACAGCTACTGTAACATAACACACACACATGCATGCACATGCATTCAGAAAGACAGACACTGCTATGCATTTTAATAATCTGGATAGCATATGCGACTTTTTCATGGGAATCTGCAAGAGTAGCACTGGGAATCAGGAGAGGTATAACAGGATTGATATTGAGCCAGGGCTGTAGGCCGTTGCCATTGAAATTCCCTCCACCACAGATGAAAGTAGCAATGGAGGTGGAGGGTGGGATGCAAGTCTTCCAGCTGTTAAATTCCTCCAACCTTTTTGATTTGCTTTCCAGCAACTGCAAGTCTCAGGTGGCAGATTCCCCAGTTTATGAGCCCTCGCGTTGCATCTCTCCTCTCATGTGTGCAGCTTTGTGGCCTGACAAACTTGCGCTCTTTCCAACAAATGAATTTTAAGGCGCTTTTGTCAGTTCAGTGGAGAGTGGAGGAGGAAAGTCTTAACACACCTCAAAGTGTTAGCAGCACATCCAATACCATTCTTAAAACAGTAACCATCAGCACTATATATTGTCTTATTATCAACACTCAAAGGTGCAGTAAACATGAACCCATTCATGGTTATCCTGCGTTATATGATAGGAGTATGAACCTCATGTAGCCACAGTGTTTTACGTTCTATTAAGCAGTTTTATTTCTGATTAAAACTGTCGAACAGGGCAAAGTAATGCTCAGATTTTGTGGTTTGGGGAATGTGATATTATTGCTTATGAAAGAGGAGATGGGTGGGGCTGTAGTCAACCTCAAGAGGAAAGCAAAGGTACCTGCATGTCATAGGAGATTGAGCAGACGAAAGGGAATGCTTTGCTTTGATGTAACATAACTGTATTCGGCAAAAAATAGTAAAAAAAAAAAAAAAAAAAAAAAAAAGAAAATCTACAATTGTAAATATATTCACAGAAAATTTTATTAAGCTTTATTTTTGTCTTCTTCTTTATTTTGAATTTATCATCCATGTACTTTGCACTTTTTTGTGTGCTGTGCTCATCACCAGCCTGTGTGGGTTCTGTGTGGTTGGCTGTTTCTCTTGACTGCATTGTTTCAATGTCAGGGGGAGAGACACTCAGCGCGGCGTTACTAAAGGGAAATGTAAGACACTTTTGTTTTCTTTAATCTCATCTGTTTTTTCTGCCGTGGCTTCTCTTTTGGTTTTGTAAAACAGTACAGAATTTTTTTTTGTTTGTTTGATGAAAACAATCCATGTAAATATCACAAGTAAAAAAAATGTATATTTTTACGACTTTTGAGTTATTACTCTTTCATTTGCAAATAAAATATTCAATGACAACTTACCTGGTCTTGTGGCATCTTTATTTGGATTTTGAAAATATAAAATGAGAGTATACAACCATATATTTAAGTGAAACATAAACAGTGTGAGTGAAAGAGTAAAACATGTATTTTTTAATTACAATTGTGGTAAACGTTTCCTTTGCATTGGGTTCAGGAATTTATTATTGTTGCCCAATCTCTTCTGAGCTGATGTTGGTGTGTATGTATGTATGTATGATGTTGATGGGAAGGGACAAGGTCAGAGCCTCTTTCTTTCATATTCTGTAAGGTGCGGTATATACGTATTCACATAATAACAAATTCAGTCAACGTGAGTTGGCTGACTGATCTGAGATTTGACGGCTGCCAAGAAGCATTACATTGTTGACCTACTTGTCAGAAAAATCAAACCCAGAAGGCAACCAAAATAAGCAAACATGGCTGTTATTAAAAAAGCATAATAGGAATATTTTAATTTATGCAACAAACAGGTTGGTTAGGTGAGTCGCAAGTATAGAAACGTCCTTGGGTGCAATCGGCAGAGCAAAAGGAGAGAACAATTCCTGCTCACAATTTCTATATCAAGTTTTATTACAATGTGATTGTAATGCAGTGATGGTAAATTACTAAATCTACAATGTGAAGAAGAAGAAGAAGAAGAAGAAGAAGAAGAAGAAGAAGAAGAAGAAGAAGAAGAAGAATTATCTTATTAACCCCCGTTGGGGGAAATTACATTTTTTCATTACATTATTATTAGACACACATTTCCGCCTCAGGATGGTGAGATTAAAATTTAAATTTGTCTGATGCGTTAATAATGGATACTTGGAAAACAACAAAAATTCCCATCAGCTTCTGCTGTACATTATGTTTAGTGCTAATTAGCAAATGGTAAACATTATACCATACATGTTAACATTGCTACAGTGCAAGCATTTAGCACAAAGCACTGCTGTACCTGAGTACTGCCTCAGACTTCTAGTATTGTTAAATTATTGTCTTCTGTTTCTTTTATATTCATTTAAAAGTAAAAAGAAAGAGGCGCATGAAGATAATCTATCACTTCCATGTCATTCATGGGCCTGAAGAATGTTTTCTGGAGATGCACCCAGTAAGCACTAATGAACAGTTATCATAGTTAATACATCCATTCACTTAAACATACAACACCAATAGAATGGGCCTTTAAGGTATTTTATTTTAGATATGGGTGAACAGCTGTTATAGCTATCCAATTATGTGGTCTCATGGTGGCTCAGGATGCAGCAATTGGGCAGGTGTCTCTTCTTCTTCCTCCTCACCAGTCTCTCTTGAGCTCCAGCCTTTCAATGTGACACTCACACCCGTGGCAGCAAGGTCAGTGATATCTACTGACCTGTCAGGCACTTATTGACCGACATTCATCTCTTCCCTCTGAAAAGTTCTTCTTATGTTGACAATGTATTGAACTGCAAAGATGGAGTGTCTGTGTCAGCCCTGGTTAGAAAGACGGGGTGTGACTTTATCTCTGTTTCAAGGAGGCACACAAAAGGTACAGAGTCAAGAAGTCAGAAAAGTGGGTTGAACAAGTGGAAATACTGCTCTGAGTAAATGCACGTGAACCGGCCATGGGGTTGATACAATTACCGGGGTGTTCTCTGGCATCTGTTTGTTAAGGAGTTGGCTGCAGACTCCTTGCTAAATTTACATTTTTTAAAAACACACCATCCATACTAAGCAAGATCAAATTTTCAAGGCCAGATCACAATTCTCCACTCTCTGTTCAATGCCTCTGTGCCTATTGTTCCACATGATTAACCATGTGTGACGACACTGTCATAAACCCATCTCACCAGCATGCCCACATGCACGCACGCGCACACACACACACACACACACACACACACACACACACACACACACACACACACACACACACACACACACACACACACTTATCAATGCATGCATATGCTGCACTGACTTTGTTGTTATTTGGTTACGGCTTTGACCATCAGAACACTCCAGTGTTACAGATAATATGCGTTATTTACATTTTATATAGAAATAATCTACATTTAGCTGTTTTTGTGCCTATTTAGAACACACTATTGGTGTTGCAAATCATCTAACAGCGTGATGTGTCACAATTATGAATTAGCACGGACACTCTAATTAGCCCAAATACAAAAGCGGTAAAAATATGTCATCACACAGATAAGACATATTTTGGCTCTGAGCGAGCTTTGTAGCCCAATTAATACCAAATCGTATTTTGCTCTTGGTCTCCCTCTATAATCTGCAAAGTAAATACTTGTAGATTGCCACACAAGCTCCTCATAATTGAAGTCACTTATATAATTGCACCCCCTGGTGTTGACTGGGGATAGGTTTCTTGTAATCTGTGATGCTGATAGGCTCCTAATGAGATGAGAGAAATCATTAGGTTATGCGTCATATAAACCACCAGTTGAGATTAGTTCATCCAAAATCTTGCGTGTAACCTATATAAACTAAAAAGGGGAGCCGCCGGCAAATTCTGGAACATGACGATCTAATTTCAGGAGCTGAATTTGTGTCTTTTTTATTTTTTTTATCTACCTTTGTGAGGCCTGGATAATATTTCCCTGTTTCCTGGACACTGACCTTATCATTCATCACCAGATCTCATTTCCTGCTTCCCCACATATAACTTTAACCTAATTTTACCATGAGCATTGTTTGTTAGAAAATTATAAAAGAACAAGTTATCCATTTATGTAGCAATCCACAGTGCACAGTTGTCCTACATGGCTTCATGGAAGAAAATAAAGATACAGAAATATTGTTAGTAGGTCTCCTTGGGTACAGGTACTGGACATGAGTGGCTTTGCATAAAGCTCCCTCTGGTGGAACCTGATATGTGGACCAAGTGCAACACAATGATGAATAGGAGTGCAGTTGTTGTTCTACATGTTGCTTTTTCCATTCTAATAAAAAACCTTTTATCCACCTGTTTCATTCATCTGAAAGTTAAAGTTGACCTGAATGGCGTGAAAGCAATGTATTTCAGCAATTTCTGATGGCAATAAAATCGGTTTTGCTACTGTCAATCTTTAATAATTCTGTGGACTTCCACCAGTGCTTTGTGTGTCTTTGCACTGATTATCTCTGGGTAATGAAAATTGCTCTGTGACCCACATCTGAAGAATATTTCATTCTCTGACAACCACACTAATTATAGAGCTGCCATAAATTTAGATAGAGAGGTTAATAGCATGCTATTTTTGATACCGCTGCAATTCCACTTTAAAAAGTTAAGTTTCATGAATATGGACTACGGAGAAATCATCCATTTGTGGAGGCTGAATTGTAAACTAACTACCTGACACTGTTCTGTCTGACAGGCCCGATTATGATTAATGCACCTATGACGTCCATGATAAATGAGAGCACTCATTTACATTGTGATTCACTGACCTTTTTTAACTGAGAAAAACTGTTGCTTAACTGGAACAATTGTGATTGTGCGTTTCATGTAGAGCTTTATTAGGCTGCTGCAGGACGTGTCACCTTTTCTGGTGCTGTCGGAAAAAAACAACGCCTGAGCACCAGCTTAGTGTTCACAGCCAACAAGATATCTTAATATTCAATAATTAAAGTATTTGATCGTCTTTATTAAACAGGGAAAGCAAGATGCATGAATATCAATTTAGAAAACTAGAATCGTAAAGCTATTAGCCCATCTAATTGAAAAATGAGGCAATTAATGATACAGTATCTTTTTAATGGAGCTAGCAAGTAAAATGAACTGTCGGCAGTAGACAACGGAGATCCGTAATTATATACTCTGAAAAGGACAACCACTCAGCTGAGGATTTCACCTTCAGGCTCTAATCTGTGGTATAAAGGGTAAAACACGTGTTCTTATAGGGTGTTCATCCAAAATGTTGTGAAGGTTCACTAGTTCACTAGTCGGAGGGGCTCACTGATAAACACACTGGCCATCAAAACAAAAGGTTGCATCCCGATACAGTACAAACTATAGATACAGGTAAAGTTTGATCTACTTTTTATTCATGCAGCCACAGCAAACCAATATTGTTGGTTTTATAGTTGGTTTTTGGTCAGTAAGACTAAAATAATAATTCGGCATGTGCTGTAAAATACAGTAAACAATGTGTTAAACTTGACCCTATTTCAAGTTCAACATTATCTCACCCACTTTTACACTGGTAGGTAAATACAATCCATGGTTTCTCTTTTGGTGATATATTTTTAACACTCATCCAGTGCATCCTAAAAACCAACAATGACTGAACACACGAGGAATGAGGAACAATCATTGGATTATCATCCCTTTCCTCTGTGAGTGACAGGGGATATTTAATAAATATCTTATACTTGGGCTGAACACGTATAATTATAGTAATAATCATAACCATAACTGTGACCACTTTCAGGAAAACATCAATTACACTTTGAGGAAAAATCTCAATTTATACTTTTCCAACCCCAAAATGTGTCTCTGCATATGAAATCTAAGCTCTTGTATGCAATTAACCTAGAGTATAAAAGGTGTGTGAACTATGGAGTGAAATGACTTTGCACTTAGGCTACATCCCATCTTGCCCTCTAAACACTGTGCGCATGACTAGTGAAGCACAAAGTGAGTGACATAACTTTTCCAATTAGCCTAACTGGGAACCCTCTGGAGGACACCTGCAGGTCCGCAGACTCCACTTTGAGCCCACCTCTCCTTGCAGCCCCAGACGCCCAAGCTGCATGTTAATAATAGTGTATCCCTCAGTAGGTCGCAGGTAGTAGCTCGGCACTGAATGGAGAGTTAGCTAAAGTTTGTTAAACGTCGTTCACAGCGCGCACTCTTCGGGCAGAGGACATGGCCTTTGGGCATCTCATCCCTCAGCTGAGGCTGGAGGAGCCAGCGGAGGACGGGATGTTCAGGAGCATCACCTTCCGCCCCTTCCAGCATGGACACCACCAGCGCGGGAAGTCAAGTTCTCCCTGCAGCGACAGGAAACGACACAAGTAAGGTTTCTGT